CTTCGTATCTACGTCTAACCCAGTTTTGCTGTGAGCAGTTTCGCGAGTATAAGTAATTCTTCTATAAGCAGACCACTCGAAATCATTTACGGCCTAGTAATTAAGCATACCTCACTATTTTATTAAGTTTCATTTGACGTTGCCTTCCAGGCTAGACTTGACTCTACACTCGACCTCGTCTAGGTATGATCAGCACCCACAATGTGATTCGACACCGGCTCATGAGCGCCGTAACGTCTTTACTACAGTGGAAATGGCGCCACCCCTTTTGGAGATCGGAATTGGGACCATGTTTATCTTTAGGCGAAGACAAGCAGAGGAAATTGAAGGAGGACAAAATTCCAATGACGAATACGAATTTGTATAAGTATGACTTATCTTGAACGGCCCGAGTCTAAATGGTGAAGAGTGGGGATAAGATTCGAGAATTCCGTCCAATCCGAACGAGAAAACCTTTAGTAAGAGGAGTCTAAGGTAAAGTCAATGGTATCATGCTGCCTTTTTCTCATAGAAATATGGAAAATTCATCTATTATATCTTTTCCATCTAAAGCGCACCTCGGGACTATCGCTCTAATTCATTATGTACGGATAGTTTCGAAAATCACACACTTGGCAGAGAAAGCGTCCTAAGCACCGACATAGGATGCACAAAAAGATCGCGTTTTTCATTTAACTGTACCGATTTAGTGAAGAAAAGCCTCAAAGTCGCTTTCGATGCTGGCAAACTGATGGTAATTTCATTTTTGGCTAAATAAATCCCGATTAGTATATAAAAGCTGTATTCAACCTATTTTTGTGAGATGATTAAGGACTGGTAGTTAAACTTTACTACAATAATTTGAGTGGCATCATGTTTCCAGAGCCATTCTTCCAAAAAAATTCTCAATCTCGATACGATTTTTATCCTGTTTCGTTTAAGATGATGAAAGATAAGAATACCTTTGTGGAAACAAAGCTATGTGAAATCCAATGGAAACGCAAGACCTGCTCACATGATTGTGGGTGAATTCAGCTGTTATATCAGATCTACCGGAAATCTTGAAAAGCTACTTGAAAACTGAAGATCCTGATTCTTTCTAGAATGGCAGATTGGTTGTCTACGATGCCGGTGCAGCAGATCGACTCGAATACCCTGTCATGGGCCAAATGAGGATGGAGCAGAAGGAGCAAATTGCAAGCAGTAAATCGTGTTTGCTATCGTAAAACCTGTAGCTGCCATCCGTGACTCTACACCACTCTCAACGCCCATTCTGTCGATGATATGAGCAACAGGGCTTCGGTATATCTCCTGTGGGAGGGTGGTCGGTGGCTCGATCTCGTTAGACGACGATGTTGAATCCAAATTAGACTGTTGCCGTCCCAATTCACCTGTACTTTCAGGGAAACGAAGAAGGCTGTCTCGGAGAGGGCATCAATCAGAAGGTACGAATACAACTTCTTATCAGCTGGCCATTAGGAATGGGCTACCATCTTCTTATGCGTATGACCGACAAAACTGTTCATCCCGCACTTTCGCACTATCCAGCCAGGCAGACAACTCATCCAAGAAAATATCAAAAATCCCCAGAATATGTCCATCTCTAATTAGTCGAAACAACAAAGTAGGCTGTCCGCGTGTGTGTGTGGGGGGGGGCATGTATGCTTGTGTGAATATTCTTGTATGAGGAGAGTTTAGAGTGCCATAATTGTTCTTTCATTTTACAATCTGCACTCGCAGATCTCAACAAAAGTTGGTGGAGGTGATTTCATGCTGTTTTTCTCAAAACCTTTTCAGGTCTTTGTTTATTACAGTTTGGCGGCCTCGCATTCAATGTAGCTTGGGAAATATTTTCGACGCATTTACGCCG